AGTGCTGAGAGTTGTCGAATGCGGCGAAAGCAGAGTGTAGTAGACACTACTGTACAGGAGTGAAGCAAAGCTGATTTGTTGTAATGCTGCCTGACTGCTTGCCTGTGTGCAATAATGAGGTGAACTCATAAAACAGTGAGCCGAAAAAAAATATGATTAAAAAGCCGATTCACAAACCAGGTAAAGACAGGAAGAGAAGGAAAGATATGTGCGCATATACCCTGCACCCGTGCACGCACACACACACACAAACACAGAAGGGAGTTGATAGGTGGAGAATTGCGAAAACAGGGGACCCAGTGTGCCCTCAAGGAGATAAAGAGATAGAGATAGATAGAGAGATATTTTTGGCACAGTATATTCGGCCCTGGTTTAAATATGGCTTTGGAATTTATTTTTCATTGCAATCAGGTTCGTCCTCATTTCTCTGTGCTGTGCTAATGAGTCCACAAAGGACGAAACAGTTCTGTCCCCAGATTGGATAGATAGATAGATATAGATGAAGATAGAGAGAGAGAGAGAGAGAGAGAGAGAGAGAGAGAGAGAGAGAGAGAGAGAGAGGGAAAGAGAAAGACATAGGCAGCTGTCTTGGTCATTATCATCCGATGTATTCCGTGTGGCGTAGACCAGGTGTGCATTGAGAATCCTTTCACAAGGCATCGCAATAATTATAATTACGGAATTGGGCAGTAATGCTGTGCTAGTCTTGATATGTTTCACTCAGGTCATGTCTGATATCGTTGGCATAAGAGAAAATCAGTGGGTGTACATCCACTGCACTTGCAAACTTGCGTGTCTCTCTTGCGACGAATGCACATGGTACTTGGTGTCTGTGTCAATTGGCTCATTCTGTGGGCGAGTGGTCACTGCCTGAGTTCAATGTCGGAAAAGGTAAGTAGCTCTAGAGTGCAGTATAGAGAAAATTATGCCAAATACGCGGTCATTAGGAGAGACTATACCAGCAACTTCGACTCATATACTTCAATATCTAATTGGATCTGTATAGAAGACGCTGCTCAGTGGTATTGGAGTTGTGGTTGATCAACAGCGTATCTTTTAGGTACATGTGGCATCCATTGGTCTTGTGTGAGTGACACTAGGCATGAAACCGGACAACGTTGGTTGAAAGGTTTCATTACCAAAGAACTTGATTGGTTTGCCATTTAGCTTCCTGTGTGGCGTCACATCGTTTCCGTGGACTGGTTTAGATTCTTGCCCACGTTTCCAGGAGTCCAGCCAATTAATAGCAGCCGAAGCTATTTGAATAGCCAGATTATGTCTTCTTATCTGCTCTGCACTCCATCCGCTTGCATCAGTAAGCAATGCAAACACGTTGTCCCCTGCACAGGCACGTGACTTCTGCAGGGAATTCCGGGAGAGCGTAAAGTGGCAGGACGAATTACCGTGAAGTTGCCACATGATCTGAGTACAATCGTAGCACATCAAGTCTTGACACTACTAGTACTTGTGACATGACCAATTCTGCTATGCTCTAATGCAGACTAGCAATAAGAGGCATTTGTCAGATACTAGTAACCATGAGGTACTGAGATGATTCTCTTCGGCAAGCCACCCACTCTGCAAAAAAATGCGCCAAAATTAATAATCCGTCATCTGCCTGCTCCAACTTGACTGTCCTCCTGACAAGTGAAAACCGCTGGCGTTGTCCGGCCATAAACACCATTATTGGCATCAATCCAACGCATTAATCCAACGCCTTCGTTGCTCCTCATCTCTGCAGCTCATACCAATAGGTCTGGCACGTCGAAAAACTAACATACTCGGAGCTACAAGCTACATTTTCAGAGACAGGGAGTTGCAAATGGCAAGAAACCCAGATTCCCTTCACCTTTGGCATCACGAGCAATGACCATTTATCAGCCAGCAATGTTTTACTAGAGCAAAGGCGCTGGCGGGAACAGAAACAGCAACGTTTCTTTCTCAGCAAAAACAAATAAAAAGGAAAGGAACAAAAAAGGATCAACACCATGTACCAGGGATTCGTCCATACCTGGTACCCAGGCCAGGTGTGTACTACCCCTGGAAAGGCTCTCCCACAGATTGCAGTACAAAAGCCACGGCCAAGTGTCCCACTGAGGTGCGTGCGGTCGCTTGCCCGGACCGCTGGGACGCGGACACCTACGAAGAGCAGCCTGTGACGTTTATTTTTTATGACAGAAAATCCGCAAAAATAGTTGGGCTTGTCCCTTAATAGGCCATTCACACGACGGCCAAACTTACTTTTATCGTACTGTTTGCAAGGATATTTACTCGGATACGATAAACTTGGACACCCGCGTGCAACTGATTTTTTATCTTGGCCGAGGCCCTTTTGCTCGCGATTATCTTTGCACGCCAGGAAAAGTGTCGGTTGTTGAAAGTGCGTACTGCAAATGCAGTGCTTGAACAAGGGAAAATTCAAAATTGAACATTTCCCGGCATTTTCAGGAGGTCACTATGGATACATTGACGGTTGCAAAGTTTGCCCAGCACCGTGTGAACTGGATCACGGTTTGCCAGTGTTATCTTGGTCACACACGTGCAAATGTTTACACGTCGTGTGAATGGCCTATTATAGGCGATTCACACGACAGGCAAATCCACGTTTACAGGAAAGTCACCATGGAGATATTCCTGCGGGTGACCAAAATTTGCCCGCGGGAATCAAAAGTGTCCATGGCCTTTTTGCCCGCGGATGCACTCATCTGCGGGCACTTTTACAGTTATGAGGCTGTGAGGTCGTACGTAAGTACGGTAGTCTTGAACCCTGGTTGTTTGGCCTTCGTTTTTGGGTACTCATTCCAAATCACCACAGTAACGCCGTATACTCACCGGATACTCGCGGGAGCTCTGGCCGCCACCCGCGGCCGTGTGAACTGCGGCCTCACGTTTCACTTCCTGCGGGCACTTGACAAACGTGGATTTGCCTGTCGTGTGAATCGCCTATTAGCCTTTCGCGGAGATATTCCTGCGGGTGACCAAAATTTGCCCGCGGGAATCAAAAGTGTCCATGGCCTTTTTGCCCGCGGATGCACTCATCTGCGGGCACTTTTACAGTTATGAGGCTGTGAGGTCGTACTATCCCTGGTTGTTTGGCCTTTGTTTTTGGGTACTCATTCCAAATCACCACAGTAACGCCGTATACTCACCGGATACTCGCGGGAGCTCTGGCCGCCACCCGCGGCCGTGTGAACTGCGGCCTCACATTTCACTTCCTGCGGGCACTTGACAAACGTGGATTTGCCTGTCGTGTGAATCGCCTATAAGCCACATAAACCAGAGTGTGCAACTGGTATTTTACGACTCCCTGCTTCATACCAAGTAAACTCTTTGTACCGTACGAGGTGGTTTGGCTTTTTTTAACATGGTTGTAAAATGACATTTTTTCAGTCACTTCTGGACAAGCTACGTCCAAATGAATTGTTGCAAGTGGAAGTGCTATCCTTCATGCCCGTTGTGTCAGAAAATGGGAATGATCCCACTTTGGAAAGTGTCTTGAATCATGTCCTACTTCCACAGTATTCTCAGGATTCAAATAATTGGTGTGTCATTTTTTAACAAATTTGTAAAATGGCATCACAAACTGGGATATTCGGTCATCAATGTTCTGAAGTTGATAGATATCACTTCAAGGATTGCTAGTGGATGAAAATTAATCTGTGAACAGAGGAGTGAACTGCATTGTATGCTGCGAAAGCCGTGTTTTTGTATTTGTAACTAGTGGCTGTGTTATACGGTGGAATTGGATAGATAGCATAGCATCGCAGCGATGTTTTCGTTCTCACAGAGTGCATTCCGTGACCTACTGTTCTTCAGTACTGTCTTTAGTGATGGCAAGACGGCCTGACGTCGTCCAAAGACCCTGCGGAAGCAGTTCACTGCCCTCCTCGTCCATTCAGGGGCTCATTTTACACATTTTACACAAATTGGCAAAGCACCCACCACTGGTTATACCAACGTGGTAGGGAGAATTAAATTATATGCACCAAATTTTCTGGTCAATGTTGATCTACGATAAACTGGCTCCCATTTGCCACCACCCATGTTTCGATACAGCCATCCGGAGCAGAGAAACAGCCAGAAGAAAAGCAAATTTTACACATTTGTTAAAAATGCCAAATGTAAAAAAAAGCCAAATCACCTCGTACGGACTTCAACAAATGCTACAATTTCCACGTGTTTTCCTTTGACTTGATCATTGTATTGAAAGCTGCAGTGCTGGTAAAAATAAAAAAACAATTTCCACGTGTGGAATCCACGTGCTTGTGTGTGTGTACGTGTGACTGTGTGTGAAAGGAAATGGACTAGTACGAGCAAGAGTTCATAACCCCCTGGGGCCCCCTGGGGGTTATGAACTCTTGGTACGAGTATGCAGGGAGCTTGTACGTTGATTTTTGTGCGTTATTCAAATACTAATTTTACATTAATCACACTCAATACGAGCGTACTGTACGCTTGCGGTTCATGCGTACCTATACGCGCGCGCGCTCAAGCTTTCACAAAAAACAGCAATCCGAGCTACTTAGCGCGTGCGACACCTTCGAGTACTAATTTTTTGACCCCGCCAGTCAAAGTGGCTGGCATGTACGCTGGTACGCGCCTGATACGTATATACGCGCTGAAAATTCCAACACGGTTGCTGAGGCGGGCATTCGCCTCATTTGCCTCTGGTTTTGACTGTATTGGCTTCGTCTGTGCTCTTTTCATCCTACTACTACACTGTAGTAGTTTTCAGTCCGCTATTGGGCGGCTGCACTCCAGCTCTGCTTTGCACTTCTCTTAACTTCTTTTTCGTTTTTGTATAATCATTGCTGTCTGAAAAAAAAAATGTTGGAATATCCATTTCGGCGCGTTTCAATTCCGTACGCATGGCGCCCCAAAAGCCAGCAAAAATACGCACAAACGCTTGGTTTCAAGCGTACACGCGCCAGTTGTGAACACAGCTTTATACGCTTCGCCAATCGTCAGACGGAGACACAAAGCTGACAGGATCGCTTTTCTAAATAATGAAGCGGGACATTCCAACATTGCAAGTAGGAAAAAGCCACGATTGGCGATTCTCGCCCCAAAGTTAGAGAAAACTGTGTTACTACTCCAAGTAGAGTTCAAAGAAAACTAACTCGGTTACGACTAAATACAAGCTACTAAGTAGTTGGCAATGGCAGCGTCTAGTCAGCAGAATTCTAGTTCGGAGTTTGCTCGTGTCCTTGGAATCATCACACTCATATTGATGCTTAGTCGTTGCTGTGCTCACGTGGATGCGGAGAGCAGGGGCAGCAGCCATGCTGATATAGCTGTCGAGGCTCGAGAACGTATCAACAAGATGACGGATGAGTATGAAGTAGTGCATATCGACATGACACAACACCTTAGTGATGTTGAGCATGTCAGCAATCGTGGCAAGAGAGATGCCACAGCACAAGGACAACATGATGATCAGTCTAGCAGTGAGCATGTACATGTACACCATCCGCCAACCAGTAGCTTCCAAATAAGGGCATTTGGAAAGACAGTGACATTAGATCTGAAGCAGAACACTGAGCTGATTCCTGCTTCGTTTAAAGTCTTCACATTCAATTCAATCGATGAGAGTCCTGTGATTACTCGTGGAGCAGTCAACTGTTATTACCATGGGACAGTGCGTGGCTTGCAGAACGTCAGTCATGCTCAGTCCACCCTTCACAAACACAGGAAACGGCAGCAAAGTAGTACTGATGCCAGTGAAGAGAGCAGCGCCGCTGTGATATCTACATACGCCGCTGTGAGCACATGCAATGGTTTGAGTGGATCATTTGGTTTTGAACAGTATGCTCGCAATGGAGATGAGGATCCAGCCACAGCTAGCAGCAGCAACAGCAGTAGCAATGAGCAAGGTAAAGCGTACTCTGAAAGATATATGATTGAACCACTGGTCAGCCAGACATCTAAACCTGGTACGTATCCACACGCCGTCTTCAAAGAATCCACATACAAGATGAGCAAAGAAGATCCGTTGAAAGGAGGGTGTGCGACACACTGGAATATATCGGCTACAAAGAACACCAGCAGAGGAACTGCAGGTGAGAAGCAGCAGTGGGATTTTCCTGATGACAGGTTGGCTGGTTTAGCTTCAGCAGCACGCAAACGTGTGAAGAGGAGTAGCAGTACAGGAGGAGGACGAGATCCAGCTATGTATGTAGAACTTGCTCTGGCTTCTGATTACTCATATACTAAAGCAAATGGTGGTCTTAGTCAAGATGGCTCCAAAAACCTTGTTGCATCAACGCTGAAGCTTGTAAACCAGGTCGATATTCGTTTTCAGGAGCTTAATGTCCGTATTGTCCTTGTAACTATCTTCATGTTTACTCAGGCACCTGGTCCTTTGAATTTGGATGGAGATACAGGGGATAGCAATTTCGATAAAGTGCGAATATTTTCAGAACAACACCTCGAGCCATTTGCTCACTATGATATGATTCATTATTTCAGCGCTCAGCGGCTGACATCTCCTGGAATTGCCAGTCTTCCTCCTTCCGGTCATGTTTGCTGGAAGTACCGTCAAGGATTGGAAGGATTAGGAACGCGTCCTATCACTGCAGGCTTGCTTGCCCATGAGATTGGCCACAATCTTGGATTTGATCATGTTCGTCCACCGTGCGCTTGTAAAAAGCCTGGCTGTTCTAACACAATGTCTCCAATTTCCGGTTCAGCATGGTCAAACTGCACAATCGCTTGGTTCAACAATGAACGGTCAGATCCAAGCAGGAAGTGTTATCTGAACAAGCCCGCACCAGCGCTCTCCAAAGTGGTGTGTGGAAATGGCGTTGTGGAGCCAGGCGAAGACTGCGATTGTGGCCTGCGCCAGTACTGCAAGGATGCCTGCTGCAACGCAACAACATGCCGTTACACACCCAGTTCCCAGTGTAGTCTAGGTGAATGCTGTAGTAACTGTACTATTCTGCCAGCTGGCACACTCTGCAGGCCGGCCAAAGACCAATGCGACCTGCCAGACTACTGTGATGGAAGACAAGAAAGGTGTCCAGCAGATGATTTCAAACAGTCCGGGCTATACTGTGAGGAAGCAGGTCGCCAAACAACAGGTCAGCCTGGCACTTGCCAGCAGGGCTCGTGCAGGAACATTGATGCGCAATGCCTGAAAAGCCCTTTGTTCCGCCGCGCCCCAGCTTTTTTCTCTGCAAGCTGCTTCGCCAGATACAATGTACGTGGCTTTGGCGGTCACAACTGTGGTGTCAATAGCAGAAAGGAATCTATTCCTTGCAAGCCAGAGAATGCTTTGTGTGGTACTCTCGTGTGCGGCATTATAATACCTCCGAGTCACACAACGTGCGCGGTACAGAGAGTAGGTGGAGATGAGCCTCTTACCTTGTACGTGGATAATGGCAGCCCGTGTGGCAATGGTTCAGCCTGCTGGAACAAGGAATGTGTGAACACCTCCATACTGCAGTCTGGTGCCTGGAGGTGTCCTCAAGCTAATGGACTCGGCTGCTCTGGTAATGGCGTATGCACACACAAGAACGTGTGTCGCTGTGAAATTGGCTGGCAAGGCACTAACTGCAATCGTCAAGCCGGTACACTAGACGCAGGCCTATCAGGTGGCAGTATTGCTGGACTTGTTATCGGTCTGATACTCGCATCACTGTTGTGTGCCGCCTTTATTGCACTTTATCTCAAGCGGAAGCGAAATGTGGCCATCGCTCGAGCAATACCACGACCTTCACACCACCGTCATCTACGCGTTGCCTCCGAAGAGAGAACCAGAGACCAACCAGGCGCTACAGACGGTCATGGTGAAGAGCGCATGGGGAAATCAGTGACCTCTGCAGATCCGGGTATACCTGACTCTGGGCCAAACATCATCGGCCAGGCACCTGGTCGACCAAGTCAACCACCAACCAGGCCTGCTCGGCCATCTGCACCCGCTGCATATACAAATGACTATGCAAGTTAGCCCATCTGCACCCGCTGCATATACAAATGACTATGCAAGTTAGCCCATCTACACCCCCTGCATATACAAATGACTATGCAAGTTAGCCCAGTTACACCCGCTGCACATTTTTAAAGTAGACACATGTGAAGGTTTTGTAACAAACTCTCACCTTTTTCTTCTCTGACCTCCTTAAGGCCTTCATGCATTATCCCCTGTACACTTTACACCTGGAATAGTTTTTACTCGGTTTTAACAATTCGTGACACAGATATTCTTTAGGTGTGTTGAAATCACTTGTTTGTGGCAGTAGGTCCCGTGATTATGTGGTACCAGGTATGCGTATTATGATTAGGCCTAATTATGATGCAGTAACGTTAGCGAATTAGTGTCACGTTACGTACAAGTAGGTCTATATTAATGCTATCCCCTTTTGCTGATGCACGCCATACTTGCAAGAATAGCAATGTCACGTACGGCAAAAGAATCGATATATCAGTATACTAACTATACTTGTGTGCAATGTACTTGTAGTAAACCAGTACACACCAGTGTACCAGTATACGGTGTTGGAGTTAGAGAAGTGAAGTGTTCTCTATTATTCTAAAATCTAGCAATATAAAGCAGAATTAAAGCGGACATTGAGCATACATGTAGCGATGAAACGTGATAATCTAGTATCGCTAGGTTCAATAAGAAAGTTGTGGAGGAAAAGGAGGTTTGTCAACTGACAACCGCTCTATTCAGTTGCTATTCACAATCTGCGTTTGCGCTGGATTAAAAACTCTTCATTGTGATGTCGGTATTTAGAAAAGCGATCCTGTCAGCTTTTCTATTATTGTGTTCACATGGCAAGAAAAACGACACCGCTATGCTACGTAAGTTTCTACGTAAGGTGCTCGGTATTTCACTTAGGCTACGTAAGTCTCTACGTAAGGTGCTCGGTATTAGATCTACCAACGCGTGGTAGCCGCGTGCTGTGCACGTGCACGGCAGACATTGTGTTGCATGCAGTGCATGCAGTCTATAGTCCGCGGATCCGTGTTCGGATATGTGCATGCACGAGGAACTTCCTTCTTTGGAACTGCTTCTTGCATGAGGTGTTTTGGATATTTCGTCTCCTGGCCTGTATAACCGTTAAACCGACCGTTAGCTTAGCAGTTAACCGTTCGGGGTAAAACTGTGACCGTTTGAGCCCTAGAAAAGAATGATCTTTATTCGTACTGCACAGGGTTTACATGTACATAATTATGATGTTGTATAGGCGAGTCACACGACAGGCAAATCCACGTTTGTCAGGTGCCCGCAGGAAGTGAAACGTGAGGCTGCAGTTCACACGGCCGCGGGTGGCGGCCAGAGCTCCCGCGAGTATCCGGTGAGTATACGGCGTTACTGTGGTGATTTGGAAGGAGTACTCAAAGACAAAGGCCAAACAACCAGGGTTCAAGACTACCGTACTGTTCTGTCGCGCACACACACACTGGTGCAGACGACTGTATCATTGTTCACAAGACTGTTGTTCTTCTTCAAGACTGAGTAGCACCGACTCTTTCTGTTCTAAGTACTACTAAAGAAAACTCTCTCAATGCATTACAGCGCAGCCAAACAAAAGGTACCGCAAAAACCTTATGCCGCACGCACAAGAACACAAAAACCAAAAAAGCTACACGGTGCAAGCTGGCTCAGCGAAACTGACTCGAGCGGAACCTAAATCGGAGCTCGCCGACCAAATACATTATTACATGAGGCATCGAGGTGCAACCAAGCTGAGCGCATTCATGGATAGCGATATTACCAAGAGCTAAGGTCAACACAGAGAACAGGCAGTATGACCCCCGCAATGGCCTCGATCACAGCTAGAGGACGAGAAAAGCAGACCGCAACTGAACATCTCCCCCTTCACTCACGAATGGTGAGTACGAGGTAACCGCAGTAATTTGCTATGAAAGCGAGCAAACTAGAACCTACAGGTGTTGATCAGAACCGTCTCGAACAAACTAAGAGAAATAGATGAAGAAAAACAAAACAAGACAAGTGTCACCCTCATGCAGTTTACATAGCTATTGCAAACATTGCTCGAGAGTCACACTGCGATACTTAGCTGAGATAGCGTTACTGGCCGATGTCACCAGGCTGCTCAATTATCCGCCATATCGAGGATTGGAATGAGCCGGTGAATGGATCGGCGGTAGGTCTTGCCACGCATGCGGACGTCAACTACTCTGACGCAGCCATCAGGGCCGGGGAACGTGTTGCACACTCTGCCCATGGGCCACTTGCCGCGCGGCGTGTCAGGCTCCATGCATAGTACGACGTCTCCAACTTCCACATTCTTCTGCGTCCGGCGCCACTTCTTGCGAGCGTTGAGCAATGGCACGAACTCCGTGAGCCACCGTGTCCACACTTCCTTCAGGAGCTGTTGAACTAAGACGTAGCGCTCTCGGGGGTGTACCCGGTCCCTTGCATCTGCGGCCAGCTCAAGAGGCAGTGGAGGGCTGCATTGGCCAGCAAGGAAATGCTGTGGTGTGAGGGCTTCCGGATCCTCGGGGTCTGCAGACAGTGGCATCAGCGGGCGGGAGTTGATTAGCTCTTCGGCAATGACAAATGCCGTGTGCAGCTCCTCATCGGTGATGTCGGCTTTGGCAAGAGTCGAGTATAGGGCTCTCTTTGCGGCCTTGATCATTACTTCGAATGCACCACCAAAGTGTGGCGCGCGAGGAGGGTTGAACCGCCATCTCACTCGGTTGTCCGCCAGGCTTCGGGCAATCTCTCGGCGGTCAAGCTGCTCCACTGCCTCTCGCAACTCACGGGCTGCTGCTGAGAAATTCGTACCGTTGTCGGTCACTATCTGCTGGGGCGTGCCGCCCCGCTTGGTGAACCGGGTCAGAACCAAGAGGAAACCATCGGTATCCAGAGAGTATACCAACTCCAGGTGGCAGGCTCTCGTTTCCAGGCAGGTAAACAGGCATAGGTAGCGCTTTGCCTGGGCTCTGCCCCGCCCTTGCTTGGTCTGAAATGGGCCCGCAAAGTCGATGCCACATGAAGTGAATACCTGCAGGGACCCAGCCGTACGGATGTCGGGTAGCTGACCCATAATCTGGGATGCTGGTGGCCTCCACTGTCGCCGGCATCAAACACAAGCTTGGCGCACAGCTTTCGTTACTGACAGACCGTTGACTATCCAGAACCTCTCGCGCAACTTGGCCAGGAGGTGCTGAGGACCAGCGGCATGCTTGCAGATTCGGTCCTGCTGCTCAACAATCAACCTAGTGACAGTGTGCTTAGCGGGCAGAATGACTGGCTGGCGCAACCGATAGGGCAGATGGCTGGATGCTTTCAGTCGACCTCCCACCACCAAGAGCTGCTTCCGCGACGAGTCGAGCTCTGGTCCTAGTGCAGCAAGAGGGTCTTGCTTTTGCACTGGCTTGCCGGCTGCTAACTGATGCCTTGTGGAACCATATACATCAATCTGTGCTTGCAGTACCCAGTGGTCCTCGGCTGCCTGTAGCTCTGACGCTGCTAACTCTGGCACTGCAAGCACTGATGTGGCTGTTGTCACCTGCAACAGTGCAATGACCTCGTTGATCTCTCCGTTCTCTCCGTGGGGATGGCCTTCCCCCTTCGTGGCAACGCGGCGTCTGCAGTTGCAGATAAAGCGTTGGCACCACGCTGTTACGCGAGCCAACTGCTGCCATCTTGAATACTGCTCCGGTTGGAGTCGTTCCACCACGGCGGCACTTGTGAAACCCTTCTCAGCCATGAACGTTGATTCTCGTTGAACCTCTCCAGGGAGGTCCACTGTTTGGACAGGCTGCGGTTGTTGTGGCCAAGTGTCTGCGCTCTTGGCAAGGAACTTGGGACCATGCCACCATTCTTAATCACTAGCCAATGCCTCCGCTGTAGCCCACGCGTACCCTTGTCGGCCGGATACTGTTTTCCGGGAACATGCTGCCACTGGGACGGCTTGGTGGCACGTTGCAGCTCGGACACGCGGTTGCCAATGTCCACCTTGAATCGACGGCTGTGCGACCGGATCCATCCCAGAAGGTGTGTTCGGAAATTGGCACATCCAACGCATCACCGACTTCGCTGCTGATCCTCAGTCCGAGCACTGCTCCACGAAGCTCCAGCTGTGGAATGGTCTGACGACGGGTCGGCGCTGTCTTGGCCTTGGCCATGGCGAGTGTCACTCGCACCGCACCCGAGCTATCTTCAGCTCGAACGTAGGTGGCTGCTGCAATAGCGCGGTCGGACGTGTCCGTGAAGGTATGGATGGATACGGATGATGCCGCTGATGCCTTGAAGCTGCGCGGCGCTGCTATCGCTGCTAGGGCTGGCAGTTCGCCAAACCACGCCTTCCACTTAGTGGCTACTGTTGACGGGAGCTCATCATCCCAAGACAGGCCGAGAAGCCACGTATCCTGCAGTAGGACGCGCGCTCGGATGATGAATGGCGAAATCTGGCCACGTGGATCGAAAGCTGTCGCGACACCACTGAGCACGGATCGTCTAGTGAGTTTTGAAAGCTGAGGTTGCTGGAAGCGGAAGGTGAAGGTGTCCTGCTTTGCTGACCAGGTTACTCCCAGTGTCTTCGTTGTTGGCAGGGTGCAGTGCACATGGTCGCCGACGTTGACCACTGTGGACGCTGCGCGATCTGCTACCGGAACGCTTTCCACGACCTCTGCGATATTAGACAACCACTTGCGTAAGTGGAATCCACCGTGAGCTAGGATCTCCTGACAGTGCAGGCGGCTTTTCACAGCGTCCTCGACTGTGGGCCTCGACGCAAGCAGATCATCAATGTAACGGCTGCGCTCCAGAGCTTCTGTAGTGTGTGCTGGATACTCAGGGTGAACCGAAGCAACACTTCTTGGACCGCCCTGCCTGCCAGGTACGGAGAGGCCTTGATACCAAACACCACGTGCTGAAACTCATAGACGTGTGCCGGGCCGTCGTCGAACCGCCAGAGGAAACGGTGGTACTTGCGGTCAGATTTCCTGAGCATCACTTGCAAGAACATCTCCGAAATGTCAGCTACGAGTGCCACCGGTTCAGAGCAGAAACAAATCAGGACCTTGACGAGGTCTGTCTGAAGTGCCGGGCCACTGTGCATCTCATCATTGATAGAGCGGCCGTCCCATTTGGCTGCGGCGTCGAAAACTATCCGCACCTTGGTGGTCTCTTTGTCATCTCGAACCACTGGGAAGTGGGGGAGAAACCATTGATTGTCGCCGTCACCGTCTACCTCTTCACTGGGTACTTCGCGGATGTATCCCTTGGCGAGATGACTCTGCATAACGTCATGGTACCGTTGCCGTACACTCGGACGGCGGCTTAGCGAGTGCTCCAGACTGCGCAGTCGCTGTGCGGCTTGCGGACGATTTGAGGAAACGTGAGGCTCCATCTCAATCCACGGAACGCCCAGCTCCACTCTGCCACTGGCAAACTGCGCCGTGGCAGTTGTACGCTCTTCGACTTGCCTATCGTCTGCTGATGGCATGCTGTCGTAACTGGGTGGCCTCGTGCCAGCTGACTCCATCTCAAGGTGATTTCTGACGAGTACCTCGAGGCTCACCTCTTCTGAGGTCGGCGTGACAACTGCTGAAAAACTGGCCAGGCTCGACTCAGCTCTCCCTGGGCTCAGACATACCCAGCCTAGTGGAGTGTGCCGGGCAATTACATGGCTGGGTGCTGTGTGGTAATCTCTTCCAGCACAGTATGAAGCTGGATTGCATTGAGGCCGATCAGCACGTCAATCTGCCCACTGCACACGGCTGGAAATGTTATGTCCTTGAGGTCCTCCCAGGCATGCTTGGTTGTACTCCAGTCAACAGGTTTGACACTAGGGCACACCGATGGCATGGCCCAAGCACGGAACTCAGATGCCGCTGAGCCGTCAACTGCCTCAACGGAGATAGTCACATGTTCGAACACTCCGCTCACTACCTCACCACTCAAGACCGATGCGGTTAGTGGCTCACGTGGGCTGTCTGCTCCGACTGCTGAGGCAATGTGCTGCCGAACGTAGCTGGTTGAAGATGCCGGGTCTAAGAGTGCCGTCCCTCTTACACATCTGTCACGGTACTTGACAAGAACCGGCGCAGTCATGAATGACAATGGTGCAGAGGTTGTTCCTTGCTGTTCTCCCGACTTCCTGTCAGCCGCTAGAGTTGTGTCAATGGTCATGGTCGTGTGTGCTGTTTCTCGTCGACCACCGTTGGCGTCCGCTGGCGACCACCTTGCCTGATCAGCTCTGCTAAACTCCCTCTTCGATCGGTCTGAGTGTAGCAGTTGATGGTGGCGTCGCTTGCATATGCTGCAGTTGGTCCTGCACTCGTTGGACCAGTGACCACGGGAGAGACAACAGCTGCACACACCATTGTGCCCGCGTACAAAATCCCACCGCTTATCGACTGTAAGCCTCTGGAAATCAGGGCACTTCGCGAGATGGTGAGGGTCTCCACAGAGTCCGCAAGGCTCTATTGCTGCCGCCAGAGTGTGCTGCATTGATGGCATGTGTCGTCTGGGGGGAACCAGCGGCCGAACTGATTGGCCTGTTAGCTTGCTGGAGCTGGTTGGTTCCTGAGGCGCGAGACGCTCATCTACACGCGTCATTTTGTGCACGCGTTTCATGACGAACTCCGAGAACGTCTCAGCGTCGCACCGTGTATCGTCGTACTTGTCAAAATATGCCGCCAGCACTGCCCTTGGCACCTTCTGCGTAATCGACAAATACAACTCACGGCCTGGAGTGATGTTGGCCACTTTCATGTTGAGCAACGTGTTTCGCAGTTTCACGGCAAACTGCTTCATTGTTGCCAGGTCTCTCTCGTTGGTAATTCGAGGCCATGCCATGAGCTCTCGCTCCTGTTGCTCTAGGTTGCGGTCCTTCCCACCAAACCATCGATCCAGCTCCTCCATGATGGCAGTGTAGGCCCCTGGACCATCCAGCACGTCTGCAATTAGGTCTGCTGCAGAACCGCCGGCTAATGCCTCCCGAAGGTGAGCCAGCTTGTAGTCCTCGGACATGAGCGGGTTCTCATGGACCAAGTGGAGGAATCGCTGTTTCCACTTAAGGTACGACGGTCTCTGACCGTCAAACTTCGGCAAGTCGAGCGGCTTCAGGGACCTGCCCAGGCAAAGCTGGTAGAACGCATCCGGCCAGTTCGTGCCGCCACCAGGTAACACATTCGCTTGCTGTGGTGCAGGTGCCAACGGCACAAACTCTGCTGCAGCATGGCTCAATGCACTCTTGTCAGCTGTTTGCTTGGCACTCTTCCTGACCCTTGGTGCTGGCACTGGTCTGTCATTCCTGGGCTGGGCCTGTGCAGAGGTGGCTGTGGGAGTAGGCTGGTTGGTGGGCAGTAGGTGAGTTGTAGCGCAATAGGCTAGCTCTGTGCCTATGGGCTGGTCTTTGGTTCATACTGCTATGTGCTGTTGTCACATGGCTAGTACCACTGCTTGCTGCTACATGTACACTCTGGCTAGTACATGTAGTACTACTACTAGTAGCTGCCAAACAGGGCTGGACTGTCCCACTAGCACTCACACCAGTCAGACTCAGAGGCTGCACTTGAGTGTTCTGCTGCAACACTGACCTGTCACTTGCACTCTGGAGTCAGGAGCGCGTGTGCTGAAAACACCAGAAACCGTGACTGCTGCGTCTGCGTCGCTCGTGTACTGTCTGGCCCTGCTCCTCGTTGGTGGCGGGCGTTCTCGGATCTCTCCGTCGGATCGAACCGTGCTCAGGGCGCTGTTCGGGGAACGGATCCGTGCCGATGCCAAAGGTCTACGACTCCGGACCCCAGGCAAACTGCCACCAAGCCCAGTCGCCTCACCGCCACTGAACTCGTCGGAGGAGGACTGCTCTCCATCCGCCGATTGAGCATGGATCTCCGCGTTGCCAGATGCAGAAACTGCAAATTCTACGTGCGGTTCCTCATACTCAGTACTAGTAGCGCCGGTCAAACTTTCGCGTTGTTCTGCTGCCCTGGCTCGCTCCACGGCTAGCCTCTTGTTGGCAAGCTCGATCTCAAGGGCCAGTTCCTGGCGTTTCAACTCCGCGATCCGTTCAGCTGCTTCCAGCTCCATCTCTCGTTCTCGTCGTACGATCGCGGCCCTCCTGCAGCTCTCTAGGCTGCTGTGATCGTACTCGCTGGCCGACTGTGCGGGCGTCTTCGCCTTGCGTCGGCTCTGAACAGATTCCTGGTCGGAGAGGAATCTGGACGGCCTTTGTCCAAAATTCCGTCTGGCGCTCCGTCTTGGAGCCTCTTCCGCCATCGTGCCCTACTCTGGCACGTTCACGGAATCACTACGGATCTCGCTCTTCGGATCCGGCTCGAAGGACCCTGTTTATGTTCTGTCGCGCACACACACACTGGTGCAGAAGACTGTATCATTGTTCACAAGACTGTTGTTCTTCTTCAAGACTGAGTAGCACCGACTCTTTCTGTTCTAAGTACTACTAAAGAAAACTCTCTCAATGCATTACAGCGCAGCCAAACAAAAGGTACCGCAAAAACCTTATGGAAGTTATGCCGCACGCACAAGAACACAACAACCAAAAAAGCTACACGGTGCAAGCTGGCTCAGCGAAACTGACTCGAGCGGAACCTAAATCGGAGCTCGCCGACCAAATACATAGTCATTATTACCAGATTACATGAGGCATCGAGGTGCAACCAAGCTGAGCGCATACATGGATAGCGATATTACCAAGAGCTAAGGTCAACACAGAGAACAGGCAGTATGACCGCAATGGCCTCGATCACAGCTAGAGCCTAGTAGTAGAGGACGAGAAAGCAGACCGCAACTGAACACGTACGACGTAGATCTACGATAGTACAACCTCACAGCCTCATATGAGTCATAACTGTAAAAGTGCCCGCAGATGAGTGCATCCGCGGGCAAAAAGGCCATGGACGCTTTTGATTCCCGCGGGCAAATAAATTATTTTGGTCACCCGCAGGAATATCTCCATGGTGACTTTCCTGTAAACGTGGATTTGCCTGTCGTGTGAATCGCCTATAGGTACTAGGTGGCGGGATGGTAGGTGATAGGCCGAAGGCCGGGCCGTGGTAGAGGGGATAGGAGTGTGAACAGCAGGTAACACTGTTACCATGGTTACAACAGGTCTCTGATGCAGAGCTAGCTGCAAGTGCTAGTGACGGATATCGGACATTTGCAGCCACCTCCTGGTCGTTGCAATCTGATGTATTACCTCTCACTCTCAGTGGGTCACTTGTCCGTGGCCGTTGTACTGGAATCTGTGGCAGAGCCTTGCCATGCCAGGGGCCACACCTCCCCCCGGATACCCGGCATAGACAGTACAAATACTGGTGTTGCTCCATTTTTGTTCCTTTCTTTTTATTTGTTCTTGCTGAGAAGGAAACGTTGCTACTTGGAAAGCTTTCAAACGTCATGACGTCACTCGACTCGCCGCGCGCGTGTACGTGTGAATAAGAACGGTCTGGCTAGAATCAAAAATTGAAGAACTTTCCTAGGCTGCGCTCGAGCCCCTGCGTTCTTCGGCGCCCGATCTTACTGTATTGCTAGTCTGCACTGGCTTGGACACGTGGCACGGATGGAAGATCACCGGTTGCCGAAGTGTGTTCCTTTCGGTGAACTGCCTGCCCCGCGCCCCGCGCGTGGTCCACGCAAGAGGTGGAGGGACGTCGTTATGGATGACTTTGCGTCGGCTGAGCCACCGGTACCAACATGTGGATGGTACGATGCAGCCCAGAACCGTCCGGAGTGGCGTGCCATTGCCCGTCGACCACCCAAGGCACCCTCTGCTGCTGGCTACGGTTGCGCCTGCGGCCGCATGTTCCGTCGAAACGGCGACCTGAAACGCCATCAGTCATTCTGTCGTGGACTGGAGAAATAACAATGCGCTATCATTGCTACGCAATGGGCAAGGTCAAGGTGTATTTATGGTGGTACAGGACATGCTATGTACGCCTCTTTGGTCGCTCACACATTATCCATTGCCGGCATTGGTTACACTTTATTTTCAATTTGTTATGACCTACGCTGGTCTGCACGCCCACCCACTCGACTTTAAAAAGTTGACTCTCGTTTGCCATTTCATCCGGTAGTTTGACTCCCTGCTACATGTACATGTATAATATAATTTATATTTTACAATTATCCTTGTACGTGTCTATCTTCTTGACACCATGACTTTCTTTGAAGGTCTTGTAGCTATGAAATGTTATTTGCTGCAGGTCATGTGTGTGTGTGGTGTGTGTGTGTGTGTGTGTGTGGTGTGTGTGTGTGTGTGTGGTGTGTGTGTGTGTGAGTGTGTGTGCATCCGTGAATGCCCCACGCTTGGCCCGTGAGTAAATATACAGTCATGTACGTGTTTTGTGCCATTCAATTTCACTATCTGTATACCAGTATGCAGCACAGTGGCAGGCATAGAGAGAGAGAGACGTTTTAACAATGTGTCTGATGTGAATTCTTCACTACTACATGTACTTGTATGATCGAGCGTACGAGTGTGTGTGTGTGTGTGTGTGTGTGTGTGTGTGTGTGTGT